GTGTGAGACAGGATGGCTCTTCTGATGCGGGCGGCTGTCCACACTGTGCATCACCCTGCGGCTGCTCGTCTTCCCTTTCTGGTCCTGCAGATCCTGCCTGCCCTCCAGCCTGCCATCCTCACAGGGCTGGAGCTGAGTGGCTGGGGAAGGGACGTTATTTACCCAGAGAGACAGGAAGCCTAGCTCCACCACGACGACAGGTCTGAGGCCAGCGTCCCTGAGAGCGTGTGCCATCAGGGCCACGTGTGTCAGAGCCGGGTCTGCTGCTTCCAGTGTTCATGGGTCCAGCCTGACCAGCCTGAGGCGGCCACAGTGGCAGCCAGGGAGAAGCAGGAGGGACATCACTCCAAATCTGTGCAAGTCCAAGAGGCTTCCTGTCAGGTGGCCGGAGGCAGAGAAGAGAGGAGGGTGCTGGCTCTGTGCAGCCTGTCCTGTGTGTTCCTGCCCTCACCACGGCTGCACATTGACACCAGCGTGCTGGGCCAGGCCTCTACCAGGACGAGGTCCCCAGATGCATCAGACAAGCACAGCTCACCAAGGCCCTATGGAAAGGCATCTCCTAGGGTTTGCAGACTTTTATGCTCAGCCTGTGGCTTAGGTTTTGTGACAGTTATGCTCTGAGCAGTGAACTGGGGCCTTTATAGCTAGGATCATCAGGAAGCAGAGCCCTGGACCCCCTCTGGGTACCGTGGCACATCTGTACCCATGGCCACATGGCGTGAAATCCACCGCTTCTGCTGGGGACGAAGGCCGAGGGTGCCCGGGACTGCTGGGCCTTGTGCGGGCAGCACAGCCATGGCACAGACTGTGGCTTCCCATGAGAGCTCTCAGCACAGAGCCCCGGCTCCTGGCTGCAGTGCTCACTGTGGGAGGAGAGGCGGTCCGTGGTGAAGCCAGGGCGGGTGAGAGGCCAAGACTGGGTCAGCCCCAGATGTCCCTGTGAGGGACAGAATGCAGAAGGGATCTCTCCCTCCCACACGCAACCTCAGGAGGTGACAGGCCTGGGGGACCTGTCCCACGAGCCTACCTCCAAAACTGGCAGCTAGATAAACTGCTTTTCTTTTCCAAGTGAGCTGCGCTGAACTATTTTGTTGCAAAAACAATGAAAAAGAATAGTTGAGGGGTGTACAAGGGTGGTCCCCAGAACCACTGTCAATCATGACTCTGTCAGGGAGTGGAATTAGGGTCACTCGGCAGTGACCTTCAGGGAGGGACATCGTCTGGGATCCCCCAGGCCTGATAGGGCTGGAGAAGAGGGTCAGGGTGACTGGGTGCAGAGAGAACTCCAGGAAGGACGTGGCCAGGCTGGGAAGGGGCTCCCAGAGGCCACTTTCCCGGGGAGCCGGGCGCACACTTGACCTCTGTCCCAGGACTGTGAGGCAGTGCAGGTGCACACAGCAGCCGGAAGTGAGCACAGCGAGGGGCGATTTCTCCCGGACGGGGGCCTGAAGCACTGGTGAGGGGACCCCGGTCATTTGAAGCACAGAGGAGTAAACACTGGGAAAGGACGCGGCTTTGAAAGAGTTGTGCAGTCGCATGGACACCCAGCTTCCACAGAGTGTGAGTCCTGGAGCCCAGCAGCTGCAGCGCATGGGGGCGCAGGTCGCACCAGGCACCTTGAAAGTAGGGGGCTCTGGACAAACCGCCTCGGTGTGCTGGCGGGGGTCAGGCATGGACAGAGGACTGGCAGAAGGAAATCACCGTCTATGAATGATAACCACCAAGCTGCCCACAGGCTTCTGCTTAATGTCATTCGCAGTTGTTTTCAGTTCTGGAGCTTGAGCTCAGGGCCTTCAGTCAGCTGCCTCCTCACCCTTCTTATTTTTTATTTTGAAATGGGGTCTTGCTAAATTGCTGTGTTGTCCAGGCTGGACTCAGATTTGTCATTCTCCTGCCTCAGCCTCCTGAGTGCTGCTGAGGTGGGTGTCTGCCCTGTGCCAGCTCCTCCAGAGCTCCCTCTGGGATGGCAGCCAGCTGGCTCTGCCACGCTGACCAAAACTGCTACTTCGGCTCCTTGGCTGGGGCCTGGCTGCCAGGCTCGCCGGTGCAGCGAGGAGCAGATGGAAGCTGCTGGCAGTCTCTGCCACCTGGGGAGATTTCGGTGCCAGGCCAGCCTGGCCTCCTCGCCTCCCACCGTGCCATCCAGGGTGGGAGCAAGGAAGGGAGGCGACCCAGAGCGGTGGACAGCTGGAGGAGCTGTGGTCTCTGCCCTGTGCGGACTCTCCCAGATGCTGGCCACCGGCCTGAGGTCTCAGTTCATGCGAACTCTCGGGTTCTGTCTGGATTTCAGGTTCAGAAAACCCGAGGCACCGCTCCCTCTGCTGTTGCGTGGAGCAGGGCTGCCCAACCCTCTGTCGTGGCTTTCACACTTCAGCGTTTCTCTGTGGATTTGCTTTCTTTCCCTCTAGCTTTTCAGTTTGAAGAAGTTTGGGGTCACTGAGGGCTGGAGCCCAGCCCTGGGTTTCAGTTCTCTATGCCCTAGGGAAGTGAGCGTTGAGTGCTAACGGAAGGCAGAAGGGTACAGCAATAAACTGCAGCGCTCTGTGTTCTTTTCATGAATGATACACAGAGAGTCACTAGGTTCTTTTGTGACCAGACTGTTGGTTTTGATGTTCTCATGTGCGCAGTGAACATTATCTGCATGCCTGATAAAGCAAAACCATGCTGTTTTTTTCCTGACCCGTTTTGGTCATGATTAAAATAGTTTTGCAAACTCTGCAATGCCATTGGACACAGCTGTGTGCTCTCATTTCACTTCTGGGGGTCTTTGACAGGGAGAGCAGAGGCCGGGGTGGCAGGGCAGAGGCTGCCAGAGTGTTGCGACATCAGTGAGACGTTTGCTGGCAGCCTAGCCTGGAAACCCCAGCTGCTTCCCTGAGCTTTCCACAGCTCTGTGTGGTGTTTGGAGAATTTCTCATTGCATTCCCTACTTCCACACGAGCCTACGTGAATGGTTTAAAATAAAACAGCAAGCTCTGACCAGAGGCGGAGTGACTCTGGCCCCACAGGGTGGGGGAAACTGCCTGGCCTTGTCTCCCTGCACCTCATCTGCTGCAACCCCCATGAGCCAGCACCTCGTGGAACGCTGGGCTGTTTCCCTGTCTTGGCTACTGTGAATAATGCTGTGATGGGCACAGGTGCACCGATACACGGTGTGATTGAAGAATACTATGAATATTCAAATGAAAAATAATTATTATAGCCGAGGGTGGTGGCGCACACCTGTAATCCCAGCACATAGGAGGCTGAGGCAGGAGGATTGGCATGAGTTCAAGGCAGCATGAACTACATAGTGAGACCTTGTCTCAAAAAAAACAAGTTAGTACAGTAAAAGACACATTGCTGTTGATCACCTCAAAATCCTCCCCTTTACTTCAAACACACTCATGTTGCCTTTCTTGACACCTTCTGAAGCACTTCTGGAAGTCTTGTTTGCTGAGTGTCACTAGGACATCACGTTTTTGCAGGAAGAGCAACAATGGATGAGCCTGCAAAGTTTTGGCTTTGGAAAGCTTGGTTGCTAAAAGATTAGCATGAAAAAGAAGCTAACCACTTTGCATCAGGACAGTAGGAAGGACACCTTGAGAGTATCTCAGACAGCAGCCAGACCCCACCATTAAAATGCTCAAAGGTTCGAAACTGTGATGCTTTCATTTGAGAAAAAAAGCTGCTTTCTTCTCTAGGCCTTCTCTTCTAGGAGGGCACCTAATGAATTGGTTCCTAGGGAGTTGGTTCCTTGGAATTCATTCATGGTGCTCAGCCATCCAGGCACACAGAGGCCTCTGTATCCATGATCCAAAGAGCCCTGACTACTGCTTGAGTTAGTCTCAGACTTGGCATCATCTGTGTGTTCCTGTCCTTACAGTGTGCAGAGTTCAAGATTGGGGGGTTATGGAGGCTTCCGTGAAGATTTTAGAAGAAGACCTGGGAGAGCAAGAAGCTGGGAAAGTGAAGCTGAAAGCGCAGGGGAAACCCAGGACACTGAAGAAGTAAAATATGTGGAACATCTGCTGAAGAAAGCTGAAGGCAGTGAGCAGGACAAAACCTGCAACCTAAAGGAGAAGTTTGTTTTGGTTCCTAGTTTTGGTCTGTGGTCTGCTAGCTCCAAGGCAGGAGGGCGAGGAAGGAAGGGCCTGGTGGGTAAGAAGCTGCTCAAGTCTGGGCAGCAGGGAGCAGAGGGCAGGCCGAGCAGGGAGGCCCCTTCCAGGTCTGGCCCAGGGTCCTCTCCAGCCCTACCCGTCATCCTGAGCCTGCTGGTGAGCACAGCACCCCCGTGCAGTCGCCTCGCTCACACCAGGCTCGGACATCTGAGGCTGCTTGGCCCGGCCCTGTCCCCAAGGCCCCTGTGGATGCTCTGGGGTGAATGCCATCCCCACTCCCTCGTTGCAGAGAGGAACATGCAGGCACAGGGACCCTGGCCCTTGAGCCCTCTGCTGTGGGCGTCAGCATCCCTAAGGTTGCAGTGAGGCTGGGTCTGCAGCCCCAGGAACGTGGAGTGGCCTCGTGTCCATCCTTCCATCCGTCTGTCTGGCTGTAGGGTTGGCAGGATGCTTTCATCTGGGGCCTGCCTGGTGGACACCAGGTCTCCAGATGCACTTGGGATGGAGGTGTCTGCAGGTCAGGGGAGACTCACTACCTGAGCAGGAAATCTCCTCTGGCCGTGGCCTCCCTGGGGCGGGTGGGCCTAGTCACACCCAGGGGCCCCCATGCCAGCCCTTCCCTGGTCGGCAGTGGATCCAGCACCCTGGGTTGGCTGTGGGTGTCACAAGGACCTGCAGAAGCCCCAGGCCCACCCCCCACCCAGAGCTCGGCAGGGCTCTCACTGAGGCAGGCCCAGCCCCGCGGGCATGGTTGGCACAGCCTGGGAAACCCAGCGGGGAGCGCTGGCTCTGCCGGGCCTGTGATGCAAACCCCTGAGCCCACACTGAGCCACATCCTTCCTGCGCCACAGGGCTGGGGCCACTATAAATCGGTGTCATTTCCTCTCTGCACCCTCGGCCTGGTGTCAGGGTGAGTCCTCTCTTGCAGCAGGGTGCCTGGGAAGAGGGTCTGTCCTGCTCCTGGCCTTCTCCCCTCCCGCAGCCCCGTCCCCTTCATTGTCACGAGGACTGTGGCGGGGAGGGGACCCTGCTGACAGCCTGGGTCCCTCGAGGAAGCAGTGGGTGCCCCGAAGGTGGAGCCTTGCAAGAGACTGGGCATCACGGTGAGGAGGGCAAGGGAGGGTCGGGTGCTGCCTGGAGCCCTGAGGGGCGCAAGGGGCTGGGCTCTGAGGGGTGGAGGGCACAGCCTGACGTCGCCTTGGGGTGTTGCCACCCCAGCCCCTCCTCCTCGTCACTTCTGGGGCCCCTTCTGCCAAGTCCAGCAGAAGAGATCAGGGAGGAAGTGACTCCGACAAAGCTGGCCGGCTCCTCAGTCCAGGCCAGGAGAGGGAGGGCAGCAGACAGAGCTCACGACACAGGTGTGTTTGCCTTTAGCCATTTAAAAAGTTTTTTTTGTGGTCCTGGGGATTGAACCACTTTTTTTTTTTTTTTTTTTTTTTTTTTTTTTTTTTTTTTTTGGTACTGGGGATCGAACTCTGGTCCTTGTGCTTGCAAGATGGCAAAACCACTGAACTAAATTCCCAGCCCTAACCACTTTTTATTTTTTCATTTGAGATAGGGCTTCTCTACATCACTAAGTTGGGTGGGGCTCAAACCTGTGATCTTCCTGCATCAGCCTCCAGAGTGCTGGGATCACAGGGACACCGGCCTATTCCTGTCAGGCCCCAAGGCGTAGTAATGGTGGAAGACACAGGCACAGCCTCGGGTCTACTCACTGGCATTGCTTCTCCCTGGCTTCAAGCTGTAGGACCAGACTCTCAGGGTGTCTAAGGCCTAGGCTCTGCCAGAATGCTGCGAGTGCCAAGGGCAGCAGCGGGCCTGGGACAGCCGAGGGTGCCTGGCTCCGCTTGGCCTGGCCTCCGCAGCTGCGCTCTCTGCCCCAGACCACAGGGCTCCTCTCTGGCCGCTCGACCTCTTGGGTTGGACAGGGCCAGAGCTGCAGCCGTGGGTTAGAAGGCTCAAAGTGGCTCTTCCGCCTCAGTCACCGGAGGGCTGCGAAGGCTTGGGCTTCGGCAGGCGGTGGGCACAGTGCTGCCTGTGCATGGCTGCGCTGGTTTCTCTCTCCTCAGGACAGCTCTTCTTCCCAGGCTCAGGACACGCCCGGCAAGGCTCACTTCCTGGTAAGCACTTGGCTCACTTTTCAGAACAGAATGGTGGTTTATGATGCTCAGCTGGTACGATTTCCTTTGAGGTTTCAGAGTTTAAGGAATGTTTAACTTCATGGAGGCCTAGTGGGCACACCTGTAATCCCTGCACTCGGGAGGCTGAGGCAGGGCTTGCTGGGAGTTCAAAGCCAGCCTGGGCTCCATAGTGAGTTCACGGCCAGCCGGGACTGCACAGGGAGACCTTGTTTCAAAAAGTACTCCAAACTGTTTATTGAAACTATGCATATTAATAGGGTGTCCTGTGACATTTCTGTGTGTGTAGGATTTGCTGACTTTGACAACTCAGTTCCCTCCCCCAAGTGGAGACATTTTTGTGGTAGTAGGGCTTGAAGCCAGGGCCTTTGCCCTTAGCCATATCTCTACTCTTTTAAAGTATTTTTATTTGACAGGATCTTGCTAAGTTGCTAAGTTGTTGAGGCTGGGCTCAAACTTGCCATCCTCCTGTCTCAGCCTCCTGAGTGCTGGATCCCAGGCCCACGCCCCCACGCCTGGCTGAGTGGAGACCTGGGAAGACACTCCTTACCTGGATGCCTGGGGTCCCAGTGTGGCCCTGAGCCCCGGCCCTCTCTGGGCTGCCGAGGAATATGGCCAGCACCCGCTGTAAGCTGGCGAGCTACCTGGAGGACCTGGACTGCACGGACTTCAAGAAATTCAAGATGTACTTAGAGGACTACCCCCCACAGAGCGGCTGCACCCCGCTCCCGAGGGGCCAGACGGAGCAGGCGGACCACATGGACCTGGCCACCGCCATGATCGACTTCAATGGGGAGGAGCAAGCGTGGGCCATGGCCGTGGGGATCTTTGCAGCCATCAACAGGAGAGACCTGCACGAGAAGGCGAAGCGGGACCAGCCGCAGTGGGGTGAGTGGGCGAGCGTGCTGGACCTTCTCACGAGGGTGCGAGTCTGCGGTGCCGCGGGGAGTGGGTCCACACCTTGCACAACCCGTCTGCAGAGTTCTCTGTGTCTTGCAAAATGGAAACCTCTTAGCTGTCCTGGCAGAGCTGTGACCAGTCTCCCCGGCCGGGAGCCAAGGTCTGGTTTCTGTTCCCCTGTAGTTGCCGCTTGGCTTCCTCTCAGGGGATCAAGAGGCTTCGTCGCTGTGGCCAGCTTGTTTCAGGCGGCAGCCCCGGGTTTATGCACGCACGGGCACTCTGCCATTCTCCTCTGTGAGTGTGAGTGCCATCCCTGTGCGTGTGCGAATGCCACGTGTAGCTGTGGTGTCCACACCCTGGCGGACACTGTGCGACCCCACCGTTTGCTGCTGTGAACAGTGATGCGATGAGCTTCAGCGTGCAGCTGTCTCGTGCACACCCTGACTTGTGCTCTGGAGTTTATGCCTGGACGTGGGATTTAAGGATCGTGCTGCAATCCCCAATTTAAGTTCCTTAAGGAACTGCCAGGTGATCTTTTTATAGCAACTGCACAATTTTCTGTTCCCACTCATGGTGTGCAAGAGTTCCGACTTCTTCAGCCCCTCGGCACACCTAGTATTTCCTGTTTTGGAGCCGTTGTCCTGATCAGTAGGAGGTGGTGGCTCCCTCACTCTGCTCTGCATTTCCCTGATGATCAGCGCCCTAGAAATCACTCTGTGGGCTTCTTGATCATTTGGGCAGCTTCTTCAGAGCAGGATCTATGGAAGCCCTTTCCCCTCCATAATTAGTTTTTGTTGTTTACTTGTAGTGTTCTTTATGCATTTCGGATATCAGTTCCTCATTGGATGTGTGCTTTTCTCCCATGCATGTGTCTTTTCGCTGTTAACTGTGTCTTTTCATGCTCAGAAATTAATATGCTTTACAAATCATTTCTTGTATTATCTTGGCTTTTTTCTTTTCCTTCCTCTCATGGTTGTGCTATGAGAAGATGGAGGAAAGCAGCTTGTTTTTCACACTTCCTTAAAAAGCCCAACTCCAAGGTGACCCCGGGAACCAAGGACTGCAGCTCTGTCCAACCCCTGGTGTTGGCGCTGGGCTCCTCCAGCTCTCCGCTCCCCCTGCTAGTTGTCCGGGTTTGTTCCCCTGGTCCCCTACCTGGAGTTGCTCTTTTCCATGGCTTAGAAGGAATCCCTGACCTTAGAGGATTATCCAGGCTGTGGGTCACGACTTTCTAATGGCCACCACTGTGGGCACGGGGATAGGCAAGGAGCCATGCGTAATCCCAGTGTGCACGTAGGGGTGAGGGTCTTCCCTCTGCACTAGGAAGGCTGAGAGCAACTGGAGAACCAGCGCGTGGTAACAGCAAGCCGGTGGAGGTGGGACGGAGGAACGGCTTGGGTCAGCAGACAAGGAGATGTGTGGCAGGAGAGCGGATGCAGGGCCCGATGGGTGGAGGCAGTGTGGGCAGGGTGGGCAGCGGGGGCTCCAGGAGTGCACACTGGGAAGCAGGCAGCGCAGACAGTATAGCCTGCTGTCACCGGCGGTGTGTCACCTAGAGCCCGTGAGTGTCTTACCATGTCCCTGTGCTCAAGCTGTGCAGTGAACCTGCAAGGGCTTTGTCTGCCCAGAGCCCCTTCTGGTCAGAGACACGGCAGGATGAAGCCAGAGGATGCCTTAGCCCCAGTGCCATGTTGGTTTCACACTGGGCTTGAGAGGAAAGATTAGAGCAAGATTTCACGTTCTTGGCCTGGGCTGGGGCAAGACTTCAGATCATATTTGCTGGGGCTTTGTTTGGGTTTTTTTGTTAGGATTTGCTTTGGGTTTTTTGGGGGAGCAGAGTCCTCGAAAGAGTAATTTCTGTAGCTCCTGGTCCCTGCACACCTGGAGTGACCTGTCTGGTCCCCAGGCCAAAGCTCTCTGGGCCTCTGTTGTCTGCTGACTTAGGTCCATTTTCTCATCTGTGGGTCGTGTTGGGATCTGGGGGGCGTGGCTTTGAATGTACAGTGGTCTGGAGCTGCACCTCAGATGGGTATAGAAAAATCTCCAGAGCTGGAGGTCAGTGTTCTGTCCTGTAATGCTTCTTGGATAAATCTAAAGATTAGGAACTATTTAATCAGAGTTGAAACAGACTGGGATCGGCACGCTTTTCATCAGTTTCCACAGAGCTGGGGTGGAACCCAGGGCGCTTGTAGGCTGAGCAAGGTCTCGAACAGCACCAGGGCTCTCGGCCACCTGGGAGGCCTAGAGATCTCGGCTTGAGAGCATTGATGTGGTGAACTGGGTTGTGGGTGGCCTCGCTGGGCCCGGCCTTCTTGAGGGTCTGGAGATCTTGGGAGGTCTCAGAACCAGGGTCCAGGGCCGGCCACAGGCAGCTGATGATGAAGACGCTGCCCACTGATTGACTTTGGGCCTGGGAAGAGGTTCTATTACTGGATGTGCATGCGTGCGTGCGTGAACTTGCACATGTGTGTGTGTGTGTGTGTGTGTGTGTGTGTGTGTGTGTGCTGTCCCCACTCCATAGAGGAGTTCAGGACATGCCTGGGGCCTCCTCCTACCCTGCTGTTGCCTGCACTTGGAGCCCTGTTTCCTGGGGAGTTTTCCAGGGCTGGTACTTTTGACCTGTGCACTCTGTGTTAGGAATTCCGGTTTTGAGCCTGCTTTCCCTTCTGTGTTCAGGTAACCCCACGGTGGAGTGCCGTGAAGACAGCATTGAAGAAGAGTGGATGGGCCTCCTGGGCTTCCTTTCCAGAATCTCCTCTTGCAAAAAGAAGAAAGGTGAGCTCTTGGTGGCATTGGAATTCCGGTCTGGGGCCTGGTGGGCAGGTGTGGGAGTGGAGCAGCTCGCAGCCAGCCTCCCTCCTGCTTCCTGCCCGGCTGCCAGGCCTGGCCGGCAGAGCGGTGGATCCTGGGAGGGCTTCTGTTAGGAGGTCAGGGCTGCATATGGAAGGGGCGGCTAAGGGAGGGCCGCCCTGCTGGGTGCTGCACTTGCAGCGTCCACCTCTGCTCAAGGAAGATCGGGTCCTTCACAAACAGGCAGTGGACAGGAGGGGCCTCTCTTGCCCCTCTGTCCCGATTGCCACTGCCTCTGGCCCCTGTTTTGTTGCCACTTTGATATTAATTTGTGTGTGTAATGCCTGCACCCACCAGCAGTGTGCACGCTCACAGGGAGGCGTGTTCTCTGGCTGTGGGCCACCCACGTGTGCGTTAGTGCTCCTGGGTCCTGCTCCAGCCCAGCGGGGGTGACTCTGTCACTGCAGATTTCAGCAGGGCTTACAGACGGCACGTGAGGAGCAGGTTTCACTGCATCGAGGACCGGAATGCGCGACTGGGGGAGAGTGTGAACCTGAGCCAGCGCTACACACGCCTGCAGCTGGTCCGGGAGCACCCCAGCCGGCAGGAACGCGAGCGGGAGCTGCTGGCCATGGGAGGAGGCAGGCTGCGGGACGCCGCCCTGACGCCCCTCAGGCTGGAGTCGCTGTTCGACGCCGACCCCGAGGACGAGTCCGTGCACACAGTGGTGGTGCAGGGTGCGGCCGGCATCGGGAAAACCATCCTGGCCCGGAAGATCATGCTGGAGTGGGCATCGGGGAAGCTCTTCCAGGACAGGTTCGACTACCTGTTCTACATCCACTGCCGGGAGGTGAGTCTTGCCACGCCCCGGAGCCTGGGAGACCTGATCGCCAGCTGCTGCCCTGACACCAGCCCCCCGGTGGGCAGGATCGTGCGCAAGTCCTCCAGGGTCCTATTCCTCATGGACGGCTTCGATGAGCTGCAGGGTGCCTTCGACGAGCACGCCGGGGCGCCCTGCACGGACTGGCAGGCGGCTGCACGGGGGGATGTGCTGCTGGGCAGCCTCATCCGCAAGAGGCTGCTGCCCAAGGCCTCGCTGCTCATCACCACAAGGCCGGCTGCGCTGGAGAAGCTGCAGCACCTGCTGGAGCGGCCCCGCCACGTGGAGGTCCTGGGCTTCTCCAAGGCCCGGCGGAAGGAGTACTTCTTCAAGTACTTCTCAAGTGAGGCGCAGGCCCGGGCGGCCTTCGCACTGATCCGAGAGAATGAGGTGCTGTTCACCATGTGCTTCATCCCCCTGGTCTGCTGGATCGTGTGCACCGGTCTCAAGCAGCGCATGGACAGCGGCGAGAGCCTGGCCCAGACCTCCAAGACCACCACGGCCGTGTACGTCTTCTTCCTGTCCTGCCTGCTGCAGGCCCAGGGCGGCAGCCAGGGGCACCAGGCCTTGGCACACCTCCGTGGGCTCTGCTCGCTGGCTGCCGACGGCATCTGGAACCAGAAGGTCCTGTTCGAAGAGAGCGACCTCAGGAGCCACGGCCTCCGGGAGGGGGATGTGTCCGCCTTCCTGAGGATGAGCCTGTTCCAGAAGGAGGTGGACTGCGAGAAGCTCTACAGCTTCATCCACATGACATTCCAGGAGTTCTTCGCTGCCATGTACTACGTGCTGGAAGACGAGGAAGCGGGCAGCTGGGCCGGGAGCCCTGCGGAGCTTCCCAGCCGGGACATGGCTGTGCTCCTGGAAAACTATGGCAAGTTCGAAAAGGGCTACCTGATTTTTGTCGTCCGTTTCCTCTTCGGCCTCATCAACCAAGAGAGGACCTCCTATCTGGAGAAGAAACTGAGCTGCAAGATGTCCCAGCAGATCAGGGCAGAGCTGCTGAGATGGATCGAGGCCAAGGCCAAGGCCAAGAAGCTGCAGACGCAGCCCAGCCAGCTGGAGCTCTTCTACTGCCTGTTTGAGATGCAGGAGGAGGGCTTTGTGCGCAGGGCCATGGGCCACTTCCCCAAGATCGAAGTCAGCCTCTCCACCCGCATGGACCATGTGGTGTCATCCTTCTGCATCAGGAACTGTCACAGCGTGCAGACCCTTTCCCTGGGCTTTCTGCGCAGTTCGCCGGAGGAGGAGGAAGAGGAAGAGGAGGAGGAGGAGAAGGAGGAGGAGGAAGAGGAGGAGCAGGAGGAGGAGGACATGGAGGAATGCTTGGGCCCTGCAGCCAACGGGGCTCACAGGTGAGGGGGTCTCCGGGCCGTGAGGGACCAGCCCGTTGCTTTCTGGCTGCTTTTCTGGGTGTTATGTCTTCTTCTCTATCTTCAGCTGTCTTCCAAGTAGGGTCACCACACCGTGGTAACGGCCCTATCCCTGTTTCTCCCAGTTCCTTTGCTGGAGAGATTGACCTTTTGTGTCCCATGAATAAACGGGGTGGAAAAAATCCTTGCAGGAAGATGTGTGGGGGAAGCCAGGGATTGAGGCCTGGTGGGGCAGGATTGCCTGTGGGGCTGGCAGTCTGCTGGGGCTCAGGTCACTGTCCTGGTCCACAATGGGCAGCTGTGATGGACACCGAGGCAGGCAGGGTCATTTAGAGGAGGCTGCAGAGTCCAAGGCAGAGGGCTCCCACCCCAGGAGAGACTGCTGCATCAGGCCAGGGCGCAGGTGGAGGGCATAGGAGGGCACATGCAGGCGACTGTGCATGTGAGTGTGCATATGAGTGTGCAGGAGAGGGTGCATTGAGGGTGCAGGCAGGTGAGGGTGCAGGTGAGGGTGAGGTGAGGAGGAGAGGTGGCTCTCTGCCAGCCCATCCACTGGGCGGTGCACTCACGCCCAGTCCCCTCCCCTCAGCCTCCCCTGGGATCTTGGGCCTCCCTCCCAGGGAGCCACCCCTAGCTGGGCGGGGGCTGCAGGGCCTGGTGGGAGAGATGGGTGCTGACTGAGAACAGTGTGCAGGGACAGTGAGAGACAGCTTCCCTGGAAAAATGTCACGCCCTCCCTCTCTGCCCCACATTAGCTTTCAAATTTGATCGATTGGTACTGGGGATTGAACCCAGGGGCTCAACCATGCAGCTACATCCTCAGCCCCCTTTTAATTAAATTAGTTTATTTATTGAGACAGGGCCTCGCTATATAGCCCAGCCTGGCCTCGAACTCGCGGTGGTCCTCTAGCCTCAGCTTTCCGAGTGCTGGGATCGCAGGCCTCTTTTATTTGTTCATTTTGGAGACAGGTCTCACTACACTGACCAGCCTGGCCTCAAACTCGCCATCCTGACTCAGATTTCCTGGTAGCCTGGTCACAGCGTCACAGGCTGTACTGTTTATTTTTCTTTGGTGGATAACAGCTGGACACGCAGAGGAAGGTTCAGTACACCCAGCCCTGGTGTGTCCTGTCCAGCTGATGTCTGTTGCCCTCATGGGTCATCGCTCCCTCGGCTGCGGAGGGGTTATCCGTTTGGGACACATGTTTCTGGTAGCCACAGTCACCGGGCAGGGCGGTCCTGGAGCCCCTTCAAGCTGAGACTGAGTGTCATCACCCCTCCTCAGATTCTCCCCTCCTCTCTGACCACTGCCACTCCCTGTCCCCTCCTGAGAGACTGGGGTTCCCACCAGCTTCCCCAGAAGCACCCTGTGCCCTGGGACCTCCACGGGCCTGGGTGGACGTCTGGATTTACCCTCTTTGCCAGCCCAGTGCCGGCCCTCCCCGGGTCACTGCCATCCCACAGACCGGCTTTCCCGGTCACCGTGGGGGCCTGGCTGTGCTCAGGGATGGTCAGGGGACAGCACAGGGAGTAGAGGGGCCTGGGAGGTGGCCCAGGTGACCAGGGACAGGGCTGGACAGTGGCAGATGGGAAGCTGGTGGCAATCCCGGTCCTCATGATATAGGGTGTATGACATAGGGATGATATAAGGGAAATATTATCACTCTCAACCTGCTAGATGTCGACAGGCAGACTTGGTGTTCTCTAAAGTTGAAGAATGAATTCTAGGAACAACGGAGGTTACAGGTAGGAAGAATTTATTGAGAGAAAGATAGCTTCTGCCTGAGACAGACAGAAGGGGGTTTGGAAAGTGGGCTGCTCCCAACCCTGTTTTTCAAGGAAATTTTATAGAGCAATACCAAGAGATGAGGTGAGTTCAAGATGGGACAAAACTATAGCCAACTAATAAGACTATAAGTGTAGTTGCTTAGGTAACTGATCCAGTGGGAAATCACAAGTTGGTTATGAGGTGGGACAAAACTAGGGTCAACCAATAAGATTACAACAAGTATAGTCGCTTAGGTGCTATTGATTAAATGGGGATCCATTGGGAAGGGCATCACAGAGCAAGGACCAGCACACAATGAGGATTGCAGGGAGGGGATGGCCAGGGTGTTGCCTTGAAGCGACAGTTAAGGTCTTGGTCCCAAGCAGGTGAGTGGTGCCTATTTAGAATCGCAACCTCTGCTGTTCATTCCCAGGGGCAGTGCGAGGGTGTGGTCAGTTTTCTTTGTCGGCCCCCTCCCGCTTTGGCAGGACAGCCGGCACCAGTCAGTGGCGGCGAGGAGGGCACCCTCAGGTTGCCCAGGACAGCACTGTCCGGCAGGCACTCAGCCTGCTTATTTCTCCCTGAATGTCCGATTTGTGACCACTTCCTCCCTCCCCTTGTCTTTCTTTCAGTACTGGGGATTGAACCCAGGGCCTGCACTGGGTGCGGATCCCCAGCCCTTGTAGAAACAGGGTCTCATTGCCCGGGCTGGGCTGAGCTCTGGACCCTCCTGCATCAGCCTCCCAGCTCTGGGATCACAGGTGTGTGCCAGGACGCCGGCTGGCCGTTTCTTCTCCTGGCGGCCTCCCGTGGCGCACAGCGCTCCCGTGGCGCACAGCGTGCCGACTCTGCCCTTCTGCCCCCCAGCTCGCCCAGCTGCT